GATAACACACTGTAGTTTTATTTTTTACAGTAACATTGTCAAATCTAATGCTCGGCGGTGATTTGAGGTTACCTTTTAAAAGTAGCTGGAAGATTTTGTTGGGTGCAAAAGTTAAGCGATTACGTTCACCCCATTGAGATATCAAGTTCAAACATCTATTGGCTAATCTCTCAAGCCCCGCCCTAGTATCAGATTCCACCAGTAATAAGCCGTCATCAGCATACGCGTTCAGAGTACATCCGGATGGTATTGGTATCGCAAGAAAATCGTCGAAGCCGATATTCCACAAGTATGGACCTAGCACCGATCCCTGAGGACATCCCATTGTAAGCGCCTTCGACACAGAATGATGACCAAGTCTTAGTTTAGTTGTACCTTGTGAAAAGTACGAAGAGATAAGGGAATAAATATTTTTAAAGCACATCATCATCATCATCCCGTGGGTGTCGTAAGAGCCGACTAAGGGAGCAAACTAAGCAGGACAACAGCACTACAAAGAGAAGGAAAACTTGAAACAAACCCTATACCAACCCGTCTGGCCAGCGTGGTATAGTAGGCCAAAACCTCCTTTCTAAGGAGAGGCCTATGTCCAGCAGTGGACTAGTATAGGCTGTTGACGATTGATGATGAATTTATAAACAGCCATTTTCTTATCTATCGCACTTGATTACCACCTAAACAATGACAACAATACGTGCCTAATAAAGGCAAACATCAGTCTCCCTGCTTACCCCGTGAGCTTACGGCTTGAATAACTAATTCACCCTATTGACGAGTTAATTAACTAAATATACTATGGAAACACCATACGTGAGATGAATTCATTCAATCACCCCTTCAATTAAATAAAATAACAGTACAAATCTGACAGCTATATTAAAATGTTTTGCTACCCTAGTGCTTGATGACATGACTAAACTTCTGGGATAGTTAAAAAAAAGTGTTTCATACCACCCTGGTAATTTTCACAATTACTTGATTATTTTATAAACGTTTTTAGGAATTCGTTTCCGATATTTCGTCACTTATATTTCGTCCGTGTGGTGACGGATTAAGAATACGGAGTGTCACCGCCCCTATTTATCCAGTGGCGTAAGAGCCGACTAAGGGAACAAACTGTACAGGACAACAGCACTGCAAAAAGAAGGAAAACTTGAAACAAACCCTGTACCAACCCGTCTGGCCAGCGTGGTCAAAACCTCCTTTCTGAGGAGAGGCCTATGTCCAGCAGTGGACTATTATAGGCTGTTGATAATGATGATGATTTCGTCACTTACAGGCGCCATGATCACGGATCCTTCCTTTTCAAGGAAGATAATATAAATGAAAGCAATACACAAGTAGCCACTGAACCCTGAAACCCTGAAACAAAAATGTTTAAGAAAGGTAATTTATTGTAACCTTAAATTATTTACACGGCAATTGGTGGAACTTGTGGAAATACATTATGAAATCAAAGTCACTTTTTTTATGGTATAAGGGGGCAAACGAGCAGACGGGTCACCTGATGGCGAGCAACCACCTCCACCCATGGACACCCGCAACTCAAAAGTCACAAGTGCGTTGCCGCCCTTGGAGTCCCTCCCGCTCGAGTCAGCGGGAGGGTGGATTTGGGCTCCGGTAACCTCACTCACTCAGTGAAAGGCAACGAAAGAATTGATTAACACCGGTTTTCTGTGAGGTCGAGCCGGCCCATTCGTGCCTAAGCATGGCTTTCCCACGGCAGTATGGCTGTCCCACGGCAGAACTGTACTTTTATTCCACTATTGAATATAATTTGACCTGACCGGTCAATCTAATTAGTATTATAATGATGACCTTCAACGGAAGAAAACAGATCTCCAATACTTTAATAAATATCACATCACCACTGTGCGCTTTTTAAGAAACTATCGGTTGCGATATTTCCGGGCCGACTTTCAACCTTCAACCTTTAAGAAAAGAAAGGATTTAGCACTCAAGAGCTGGTGGGGTCTTTGGGCAGCAATAGTCACTTACTATTAGGTGACCTATCTGCTCCTTTGTCTCCTCCATACTTATATTGCCAATGTGAAAGTGAGTTCGTTGTTTTGTTACGCTTCTTCGTCTAAAGTCATCATCAATCATCAACAGCCTTTAATAGTCCACTGCTGGACATAGGCCTCTCCTTAGAAAGGAGGCTTTGGCCTACTATACCACGCTGGCCAGACGGGTTGGTATAGGGTTTGTGTCAAGTTTTCCTTCTCTTTGCAGTGTTGTCGTCCTGCGTAGTTTACTCCCTTAGTCGGCTCTTACGACACCCACGGGATGAATAGGGGTGGTGACACTCCTAATCTAAAGTACGGAGAAGGTTGAGAATCTTGAAATAAGTATGAAATCATCCAGTCTTGAAATAAGAAATGTGCCAACAAAAACCCAAGAAACTAAAGAGGATCTGATAGAAATAGTGAAAAACATTGCGCAGGCCGTCAACACTCAAATTGAACCACGCGAAATAAGGGATGTATATAGGATGAATAGCAGGAAAATTCAAACAAATGGACCTATTACAGCAGAGTTCACGACTGTTATCAAAAGAGACGAACTACTTGCAAATATTAAGAAGTACAACCGAGAAAATAAAACAAACAGAATAAACAGTTCTCACATTAGTATGAACGGTACCTCACCAATTTATATATCCGAAAAACTTACCACCAAAGCGAAAAAACTCTTATACCAAGCACGTGAATTCTCAAAGGCAAATGAATATAGCTACTGCTGGATCTCGCATGGTAAAATTTATGTGAAGAAGAGGGAAGGCGCCACAGCGAAGAGAATTAACCATGAAATAGACTTGGAAATCTTAAAAAAGGAAGCTATGTGACTAGTCGCATTCGAAAACTCATATGTCTATTGTTTTTTAAGGTACTTGCATTTTTCTTTAGAAGATAATATTTTGTTAAATCTTTTTAATCTACAGATGCTGCGCGCAAACAGGCACACACGCACACGTATACCTACATACTTAACACAAAAATCAGTAGCTATCCCTTTACATATACGCGTATACATACCACACATAACTATTACTTCTTACACTAACAATAAACACAAACATATATACTACAAGCTTTTCTATCACTGTTTTGTAAACCAATGCGATCTTCAACTACAACAACTTAAACACCACCCACAATACAATATCATAATCATTACATCGAAATATTTATATAAAATACGATATCATGCTCGAAATAAAGATAATATCACGTATGCCGTAAATAACGATCTAAATGTTATATCATATTATATGTATTGTAATATTACGTATCCAGTAAATAAAAATCAACGTGCTATATTATATTATATTATGTACTGTATCAGTTTAAAATATAAAACACATGCATCATTAAGCATACACTCCAAGAGGCATAAATACAACTCTAAACTTTTATTTCACAACTACCCGAAATCACGTATCGCAAACACAATTAAATTATGTACTACTAATATAGTATTTCGTGTGTTTGAGTTTTTAAAATGCAGAAATTGGCTACATCATAAAGTAAATATAAGTAGTTTGACTATGTTCGTGATATTGACTTCAATAAATATGAATTGCCTAATTAATTATATGTACATTTGGATAAGTCTGGACATGAACAACCTTTTTTATTTTGATTTTTTGTTTTCTTTTTTTGTGTCACTCCAAATTAAAATTACAATTCGATCGTAACAACAACAACATTGCAGAGGAGTTGGATTCAACTGAGCGAGTCGAATGCTTGACACTAAGTGACTCTGGACAATGTCCACAGTTATTGAAGTATGACGCGAACACACGGGCGATGACAATTATTAGTTTAAACATAAGAAGCATAAACTGTAATTTTGATCTCTTTTTAGCGTTTATTTCTGCAATAAATATGCCTTTGGACGTAATTGTATTAACAGAGTGCTGGACCAGTATAAACAAACCACCTCCAGAAATTGATAATTATAAGAAGTTTTATACTAAAATTAGTCGAAACCAGAATGACGGAGTTGTTGTGTATGTTCGGAGTACAATAGACGTTTATGTTTTTGAACCTGAATTCTTTTCGGAGGGAAATTGTCTATATATTTATATTAAACCTGATTACACAATAATTGGTACTTACCGTTCTCCAAGCTATAGGAACACGAACTCATATGTTGAATCTCTTGATAGACTGCTTAGCAATACTCGTACCAAAAACATTATACTAACAGGAGACGTAAATATTGATATCATGCCTGGGAACTTATCAACATCAGCACATGTTTACCTTAATTTAATGGCCACATACGGACTTAAACAAGGTATTACTAAGCCTACACGAATTGCTACATGTATTGACCACTTCATGGTGAAATGTTGCGCTACTTGGAAAACAATAGTATTTGAACAAAAATTAACTGACCATTCACCTATTTTATTGTACATAAACAAATGTAAAATTAAAAAACAGAAATTTGTGTGTAAGAAAGTATACATAGACTACAGTAATATTAAAGAAACAGTTACGAAACTATCCTGGGATACATTATATAATGTAGACAATACTAATTTAGCGTCAGAAATAATAACTAATGAACTGGTAAATATAATAGACTGTAATACCAAATTTCTAAGACCTTCAAACCGGTTTAGACCACTTAAACCCTGAATCACGAAAGGAGTTGTGCAAAGTATAAGAAAGAGAGATGTCCTACACAAAAAAGCAAAAAAGTCACCCCACAATATACAACAACTTCAAAAATACCTAAAATATAGAAATGTGTGCAATTCTATTATAAAAAATCTTAAGAATAGATATTACCAAGAAAAATTACACATAAATAGAGGGAACATAAAGGAAACTTGGAAAATTGTGAAAGAATTTTGTAGTCTTAATCGCAAAAATGAACCCTCTAATGAACTACTTGATATTGACGTCACTTCTAAAACATCCCTAAACAAAGTTAATGAATATTTTACTTCAGTAGGTAGTACACTGGCTAATAAGATACTAAATAAAATGAGTCTCCGGGAACAAGATCTAGCAAGGCAAGCAAAAACCAATAACACGCCCTTGAAGTCTATATCCCTCACACCGACTGATCCACATGAAGTACGAAGTATTGTTATGGGACTCAGATCGCATAGTGCACCAGGATGGGACAAAATCACTGCAACAATACTAAAACAAAATATTTTAACCCTTGCCTTACCCATCACGTACTTATGCAATAAGAGTTTGGAAACCGGTACCTTCCCGGCCAATTTTAAAAAAGCTGTGGTTTGCCCAATATTTAAATCGGGTGAAAAAAGTGAACCATCAAACTATCGACCCATATCTCTATTGTCAACGATGTCAAAAATATTAGAGAAAATAGTTAACAAAAGGCTAATCAACTATCTGGAAAAAAATGAAATGCTAAGCAACTGTCAATTTGGTTTTAGGGCAAAAAAATCAACGGAGGATGCTGTTCTAACGCTGGCATCCAATATAGTAACAAATATAGAGAAAGGTGACAAATGTTTAGGAGTTTTTTTGGATCTCCAAAAAGCTTTTGATACTGTATCTACACCGATTTTGTTGACACGGCTTGAAAACGTTGGCATAAGAGGAGTCGCTCTGGAATGGTTCACAGATTATCTAACAGGCAGATCACAATGTGTGCGAGTGGCAGGAATCGAAAGTGACGGCGCCGTCTGCAGATACGGTGTACCGCAAGGCAGCACACTCGGCCCTACTTTATTTATCATTTACGTTAACGAATTATGTAATGTTGCTACTCGATCGAACATGGACATCATTATGTTTGCAGACGATACAGTTTTGATCTTTCATGAAGATTCCTGGGACAAGGTGTTTCATGCAGCAGAGCAGGGCCTATCTAAAACTACTGCTTGGCTAGAAGATAGTCTTCTATCGCTAAATGGCAATAAAACAAAATATCTCTGCTTCAGTAAATCAGTTATGAGCCAACCATCTGCAAAACACAATCTTAAAATACACATGTATCCCTGTAATCGTGGAGTGAATCGCTCTAAATGTGACTGTGCAACCCTATCTCGTGTAGCTTCCATTAAGTATCTAGGTATAACAGTAGACGTCCAACTTACCTGGGGCCCACACATAGCGGTTGTGACAACTAGAATAAGAAAAATTATACACATATTTAAAAATCTACGTAACATCGGGGATGTAGACCTCTTACTAGGGACGTACAGAGCACTATGTGAATGCATCATCAGATATTGCATCTGTGTATGGGGAGGCGCAGGTAAAACTTACCTTTTGACGGCAGAGAGGGCCCAGCGTGCGGTTCTAAAAGTGCTGATGTACTTACCGTACAGGCATCCCACTACAGCAGTATACGAAAAGGCTGGCGTCCTCTCTGTAAGGAAAATGTTTATTTATGAGATCCTAAGACGCTACCATAAAAAAATTATGTCAACCTTACTTGTGTCAAACAAACGTGTAGAACGTTGCCCGGTACCTAGAACAAAAAGTGCTTCTGGGCAAAGGCATTTTAATTTTCTTGGCCCCTACATATACAATAAATGTAACAAGATACAAAAAATAAAAAAGCTCAGTCATCTAAAGCTGAAAAGAGTTGTACATACCTGGCTGAGTACAATGGACTACGACACTGTTGAAAATCTATTAAGAGTCGATAAGTGAACTAACTTATTACCTTAGTCAACCAACTTATGCCCTAACACACATATATATATTCCAACACACACACACACACACACACACACACACACACACACACACACACACACACACACACACACACACACACACACACACACACACACACACACACACACACACACACACACGCACGCACACACACACACACAGCGCATGAATCGATTATTATTTTAAATTTTGATTTTGTTTTTCCTTTCTTTCTTTTTTTTTTAATTTATTATACCAAAATTTTGACTGTCTATGTAAATTGGGGAGGACACTGGCTCCTGCAACACAGTATCTACTAGTGTAGGAGCCAGAGAATTCTGAAATTAATGTATGCTTATTGTTATTGTCAATAAATTATTATTATTATTATTATTAAAAAAAAAAAAAAAAAAAAAAAACCGTTTTTAAAGATACTTACACTGGTAGAAAGCTACATTAACAGTAAGTAACATAGTCTACTTATTACCGCAGTAACTGACATGCACGCGGGTGGAGCCGCGGGCAAAAGCTAGTATCATATAAAAAAAGATTTTCTAAAGAACACTCGTCGAATTCTGCTTTTGAATGAATGTTTAAGGCCTTTGTGACACGTCGCATACACGACTGTTTGGTCCCAAACTAGGCAGAGCATAGAACTTTTTTTTTTTTATAACCTCACACATCTCACACTCGGCCGTCTGATCCCAAACTAGGCAGAGCCTGTGATATGGTAACCAGACTGCTGATAAACATACTTATATAGTTTTAAATACATACATATTATAGATAAATTACACCCAGACACAGAACAAATGACCGTGCTCATCACACAATATTTGTCCTGGGTGGGAATCGAACCCACGACCCGGCTTAGCAGTCAGGGTCACTAACCACTAGACCAACAGGTAAGGTGATAAACATACATATATATATATTACTAAATACTCACATATTTTAGATAAATTACACCCAGACAATTACACACAGATAGTTCTTCCAAATTGTCACATACTGGCAGCACCTTAACAAAACTCCACACAAAGAAAAGTTCACTCACACAGCACACATTTGACCTAAAAACTAAACGGATAATATTTTTTATTCCAAGAGAATCTCGCCCTTGCAAATTGAATCTTCAGGAAGATGGGTTAGTTGGCCTTTCGGAGGCTCTTTAGAACTTACGGAGTTTTTATGGTGATGGATGTATTTCCGTTTTATGTTTTGTCATATACAGAAAGTGACCGTAAAACTTGGTGAGAGAATTCAATCAGAAGTTTTTGAGTTTAGTTTTAGGGATTGCAGAATTGAGACAAGGTTATTTGTTTTGTGTGATTCTATTAAAGTACATACGAACTATTTGTGTGGTAACGGATTAACAATACGGAGTGTTACCACCCCTGTTCATCTTGACGGTGTCGTAAGACACAAACTCTATCTCAACCCGTCTGGTCAGCGTGGTATAGTAGGCCAAAACCTCCTTTTAAGAAGAGCCCTATGTCCAGCAGTGGACTTTAAAAGGCTGTTGATGATGATGTTGACGTTGACGTTTCAAAAATGTATACATACACATACGGTATACATTCACACTTGTTTATTCTCGACAAAGTACATATGTGTATACACAACAAAGACAATATCTCCGAAGGAGTAGGCAGAGGCGTGTTAAGTGCCCATATTTTTAAGATGACTATAATTTTGGTTCCACTTACGTAATAGAAGTTAAGCAAGTAAGCAACCAGGTGGGAAATTACATGTGTGCCTTGGCAAAAATGAGCAGCTCGTCCGAAGTCAAATGCAAACTCTCTTCATTTCATAAATAATAAAATTATTTGAAATCGTCTTTTATGTAGACATAGATCAACACAATAGCAACAATCTCTGTTTTGTCAAATAGTAAGCAAAATAAATTTCAAATACAAAATCCATGATATGCCTGTGCCGATCTACAACCGCCCGTTTCCAAGCGGTTGAGCCTTAGCAGAAGAAAGGGCAAACAAACTCATGGCCACTCTTTTGCAATTCACAGATAGATACAATGGTATCATTAAATATTGAGGACTAAAAGGTAAAAAGACAATGAAGAGAAAACAAGTTTAAGAAAAAACAAAACTAATAAAAGAGAAAATGAAGTGAAACATAAAAAGAAAAAAAAAACACTAGCCTAAACCACATTTTTAACACAACTAGCCTGCGCTACTTTAATCTTTGTCTTCTATGTAATCCACAATTGAGTAATAGGCGTTCTGACATAAGTTGCGTTTTAAATTTCTTAGAGCCTTGATTATTATTTGGGATTTTATTATAAAAGCGGACACATTGTTCTCGAAAAGACTTGTTTATCTTTTGGAGCCCAGATGCGTACTACAAGTTTATCAAAAGGCTATCTTTGTTTTCATATACATGATTTGTTTCATATACCACGACCGTATAAAAGACTGGTGTTAAGCAATTTTCCAATGGGCGGCGGGAGTCACTTACCATCAGACTCTCCTCTTCGTTTGGCACCTTAAGGCATAAAAAAATTATTGAAAAGAAAGGTAGATCCGAAAGGCATCAGGCTGCGCACTTGGTACTCTCGATTGTAGGTATGGACGAACGGCGTTTGTCGGCGAGGTTGAAGAGGTCACCGTGACGGTTGAGTCGTGACATGAACTAACACTAGGCCCTTTTGTGACCTGTCTCCTTATTTGTCTCCCATTTCATTAATAGGCATTATTTAAGAAAGCACTCGTAAACAGATAAACGACAGGTCGCTACCCACTGGCAACGACACGATACCAATGCGATATGTTCATCAACTCATCGTTTCGTGATCGTGTCGCCGCTTTTAAATCCGTTCAACACTCCCTTTTTATTATGTTTTTCGAGGACAATCGTAAAACATAGGTAGTAAGAATAGCCAGAGTTATCTCACAGCGAGAAAATTGACATATCCATTTTATACATAGCCTATTTCGATGTTGGGTTTTAGTGGAGCCAATAGTAACGTTTTTGATAACATGTAAAGCTTAGAAGATGTCACATATGTCAGGAATTGATCACGTCACAATACGTCGTTGTCTGCCATAATCCTGGTGGTAAGCTAACTTATAAAAAAACGTACGAGCCTTAGAGTAATCGGATATGATATGTAGTATCTGCAATCACACCTACCATTTATCGGACAACTGTACCACCACAATCGCTTATTATGTGTAAGAATATCATCAACATCTTTTAATTGTCCACTGATGGACATAGGCCTCTCTTTGGAAAGGAGGTTTTGGCCTACTATACCACGCTGGCCAGACAGGTTGACGGGTTTTCCTTCTCTTTACAGTGCTGTTGTCCTGCGTATTTTGCTCCCTGAGTTGGCGGAAATTTGTATAGATTGATACAATTTTAATATATAAATAAATTAATTATAACTATGTTTAATAATAAATTATATTCTAATTCTGTACAATAATTTTTGAATATGTTGAAATGTCATCAAACTAAAAAAAATTGCCCGGTTTCCTGTTAGACACTACCATCGTTTTTCACGTAATCACTCTTCAGTTTGTAGGAAAGCGAGCGAAAAGATGTTTACCTAACATAACGGCAGAAAAAAACAGTTAGAGATCCATGCTTCGGCCCAAATGGGCCGGCTCCGCCGGAGTGATGTCTTATACAAAACCGGTGTTAAGAAAGAAAGAAGAAAAAAGAAACTACATTTATCAAAGCAACCTTTAAGCATGGATGGCTTTGAACCAGCCGTGCCGTAAGTGTCCACGTTTCCACTCCGTACTCGTATGTCATCACGGGTAGGACGCACTCGTAGCTTCTCAAACGCTGCCCAAAAAGTGCTCCGTTTTTATACAATGACAATGTATACAATAATACAAGCGTTATTGCTTGCCTAACGGCGTTGCGGTATGTGTGATTCGTGTGGCGTATTCGAAACAAGTTTTGGCAGGTTGCTTTTAGGTATTCCTCTGTTCATCGCAGCGGTAAGACCCGTTATGGAGGATTGGCATGAGAGACATCACGGGACCCTCGGGTACCTGAGACGGCGTGCGGTTTTGGTCGGTTCGAGTCCGACATTGCCACCGGTAAGTGATATTCATCCCGTAGATGTCATATGACTGATGGCAACTAGGGGAGCAAACTACGCAGGACAACAGCCCTGCAAAGAGAATGAAAACTTTAAATAAACCCTATACCAACGCGTCTGGCCAGCGTCGTATAGTAGCCCAAAAAATTATTTCTAAGGAGAGGCCTATGTCCAGCAGTGGACTATTATAGGCTGTTGCTGATGATGATGATTAGTAAATAAGGTTATGCGTGAAGTTAAGAGAACTGAATATTCGAATTTGGAAAAAAACTAACTTGTAGCTAATTTATCTAAGACACATTTCTTAAATTGTAATAATGATAAGGCGAATAGAATAAAATAGAATATGCTTTAGAGTACACCAATTACAGTATCATAGTTAAATATAATAGACGACAACGAATATGTCATCTCTCTATCATTTAAACAGAAAACATACATATTTTTTCTCATACATTGATAAATAGCACAAAACGAGACTTCCCCAGTAAGTAATTGAAAATATGTGTCGTGTGTCGGGGTTGTGTCGCTTCTTTCCGTGATTTACAATAAATCTGCAATTGTATCAAGAATACTTTGTGTGTATGTTTGTGTGTGTGCGTTTGTGTGCATGTATATGTGTGTATAAATACATTGTCCCGTCATATTGAAGTAATCTGTTTTTCCTCGTAAAAAATCATGTATCCATACTAGTATTATAAATGTGAAAGTCTGTGTGTCTGTTACCTCTTCACGCTTAAACAGCTGGAACGATGTAGATGAAATTTAATAAAGAGATAGTTTGTATCCCGGAAAAGGACATAGCATAGTTTTTATCCCAGAAATCATCATTTAAGGGGGGAAAAATAGGGGTGGAATTTTGTATGGGAAATCAATTACGTTTTTAGGTGAAATTTAGAAAAAAACATATTTACCTAAA